TTGCAAAGGCACCCAAATATGAAAACACCCAGAACTACAGCTCTCGTGTTTTAGAGGAGCTGCGTCTGTTTGAGGATAAATAAATGCACAGTATTCATTTGAACTACCAGAGATTTTAGGTACATAAGTGCAATTAATTTCTTGTGTGTGTTCTTCCACAAGAAAGACCTAAATGAGGTTAGTTTTCTTTAACTCAGTAGCCATAGTAATAGGTATTTTGTATAAATGACAATAAATGCTATTTTGTTAGGAGAGTCACGTGAACACAGAAACACTATAGGTGTTTATATATATGCATTCATATATATATATGTGTGTGTTTACTTAAAACATAGCAGGTTTGGTATAATTTTGAATAGGATTACATTCCTTCTGTTTCCATATATAAAGGGGTGCTTTGACCATAGACAGTCCACTCAGCTGAAACTCAGAGTGCTACCAATAGTTTTCAGTCCAAATACAAGACAAGAAACAGATGGTGGGAGCAGAGACACGCTACAGCCTGATGAATGGGTGCGACTGGTGAGACTCTAAAGAAATGGGTAGTTCAGCCGTTGTCATTTGATTTTTGTCAAAGGACAGTTTTAAGAGGAGACAAGAAGTTATCTGGCTCCTGCGCGTTTGCAGGGGACTGTTCCTAAACCTGAATGGTAGCACTGGAGAAAGCAGGAATATACCTACTTTAAAAATGGGTGAAAAATTCCGGGACTGTGGCTGAACTGAAAGCAGGAGTTAGCCTTTTGACCGGAGATAAGTAGGGACCATAGATGTCATTTAAGATTAGCAAAGGAGAGGACTTGAGGGAGATGAGGGAGGTGGAACTGAGCAAAAACAGTTTAGAGAAGGAGCAAAGTAGAAGGTAGACTGCAGAGGACAGAAAGAAAAGACCCGCTGAGAGAAAGGGGGCACGACATCACGTTGCACTTAGTGTATTTTTGAAGGAATTCACAGAGATTCGGTGTGGAAAATGCAAACACACAAAACTGTGGCCTAATCTTGTACTGAAAATCCACTCATTCTTCAGGGGCGTCCAACAGGGGAATCCTTCCGTTTTATTGGGTCGGTTTTGCATGAGGTGGTACCTGTAGTAAGAGAGAAAACGGTGTGGTCCCAGCAACGCCCCCGGAGCCACCGCGGGGTGGGAGGGAGCCCACGTTTCTGGTTTTCAAAGCACGGTTCATCCTGCCAGCCTGAGCTCTCCCGGCACCCCGTCCCTGCTGCGCAGAGACCTGCTCCGGGGAGGACACCGCTCCTCGCAGGTCCCCCCGCTCCTCCCACCGAAGGTTTTCTGTAAAGCCCTGAGCCATGAAAGCACACCACCTTCCTGGGGGAACAAGTGTCCTGCGTGAAGGAGGCAGATCGAGAGCTTGTGCCTGTCCCTTGCCGTTTCGGAGCGTTTGCTTTGCTTGCCGGGGGGAGAGGCACGCGTGCACCTCAGAGAGGAAAACAGCTGCCCATGTCACCTGGCCTGAAAAATCACACTGGGGCCTGCTAGTTGGCCAGCAGAAGTTTTTATTTTAAGTAGATACGTGTGTTTTTACATGACTTACAAGGATGGATGTCGCCATGCAATAGCTTCAATTCAGGACAAGTTAAAGCACGGGCTGAAGAGCCGCGTCTTACGGCGCGGGGAGTTTACCAGCGGGTGATGCGTAACTGCAACCAGGAGCTGTTGGCCCCCAGCGCTCTCCTGGAAATCGATGCTTTTAGCTGAAAGCGTGAAGTTGGGAACCACCGCTGAGCGAAGAAGGCGGTGCTGGACCAGCTCCGTCTGCTCATTTGCCATCAAGATGTGACGGCTCGGCAGGCAGGCAGGTCGCAGCGGCCGCCCTACCTGCTCTCTGCACTCCATGCGACTGCGTGAGCTGACCGCCCTTCCGCAGAAGTTCGGGAGAAACCTGAAGTACGCTGTCTTAGAGGGCTTTGGCTCACCAGGGGTTTTCAGCTACGAGGGTCACAGCCCGAGTCCGGCAAAAAATTTCTCCGTTTGCACCATGGGGTGTGTATAATCTGTACAACTGTACGCAGGCACGGTAGTGTTGTGTGACCGCAGAAAGCGTACTCGCTGCCCTGAGGTAAAAATGCAATTTTCCTTTCTTAGAAGACAGCCTGGTGATAGGCTGCGGAGTCGGGTGAAGCAAGAAATCCCTGCAGAAGCAATAAATCCCTGCAGAAACAAGAAATCCCTGCAGAAGCAAAAAGTCCCTGCAGAAACAAGAAGTCCCTGCAGGCTGGGCAGTAGTAACTCTACGTGGAACTCCATCGGGGATCCCAGTGTTTTTACCACACACTTCACAGCCATCCTGCTTATTAAATATACCGTGTCCCCCTACTTGGCAGTAGACGCGGGGGGGGGAAAACACCAGTTGCCTTTTTTTTTAAAAAAAAAAAAAAAAAAGATTCGTGAGCGTATTTTTAACCTCGAGTAAAGGTTCCAACTCCCTCTTTTGGCGGGAACCGGCGTTGCCCCTCTCCTCGCTGCAGAGCAGCACCGCGGAGGCTGCGTGGAGCTTCCCACTCCCCCACGCCACGGGTGTCTCCCCGCCACGGGCAGCACGCGGGGGGGAGGGGGGGGGGGAAGGTTCAGGAGGGTTTTGGACGGCGGGGTGTGCCGGGGGCAGAGCAGGAGCCGTGGGGCGGCCGAGCGGAGCCGGGAGCGAAAGGGGGGGTGATGGTTCTCGGGAAGGGGGGGGTGGGGGTTCGCCCGCGGGGCAAAGCGGGGAGCGGGGAACACGCGTGGGGCCGGGCAGGAGCTGCTGGGCTGGCGGGCAGGCTGGTTAAAGCGAGCGGGGAGCTCGGATCCGGCGGATGGACGAAGCGGGGGGGAAAAAAGTGTTACGGTGCCTGTGGACAAAACGCGCTGCCTGGCTTCTCTTCCCATGTTCGTGAAATGCGCCGTTTCCACGCAGCCAGGGAGCTCCCCCAGGTGGGCGAGCTGGTTTCGGGCAGTATGGGACTCCTTAGGCAGTTCTCCTTTCCCCGGGCTCCTTCGGAGCCGTTCTGCCCAAGTCCCTTCCCTCCCCACCCCTCGGGTGTCCCCTCAGCTCCAGCTCACGGCCCGCTGACCCCAGGGGGGTATTTTCGAAAGCAAAGGGCCCCAGCTGGGGTCAGCCCAGGGGAGGGAGGCAGGACCCCCCCTGCACGCTGCCTTTCTGCAGCACTGCATGCAACTGCGCACCTGTGTCCTTCTCCAAAGGCTCTTACAGGTGGCAAGAAGATGAAAGCTGGGGATACCTTTCCTAATAAAATACTTAGGAGAAAAACAGAGCCCGATAAGGAGGAAACGAGGCAATGTTTGTACTCCGCCTTTTCCTGAGAAGGCTTCATCACAGATTTGCCTTTGCCTCAGCTGTAGGCTCCAGCCTGGCAAGACATCTCAACGCCTTGGTCTCGAGAAGGAAGGTTGGCCACCGCTGCTGTCCTGCGCCCCGGTGTTCATGTGGAGGCTCGCTGAGACCGAGAGCTGCGAACCACTACGCTCCCGGCAGCCCCCGCCACAGTCATCTGGGCATTTGAGCTACAAAGATGACAGAGCCAAGCTCTTCTTCGCACGAGGAGGTGATGTTAGGGCAACAGCCACCAGCTGCGGATGGGGAGGTTCGGACTGGACAGCGGGGAAGATGTTTTCATCTGCAGGGCGATGCAGCACGGGAACCGTCACCTCGGCGGGAGGAGCCTCCTCGCCTGGAGTTTCCAAGGCTCAGGGAGATGCAGCCGTGGCCAGCCTGACATCGTGCCAGCCATGGTCTTGCTCTGAGTAGGCTGTTGGATGAGGAGATGCAGAGAGGTCCCTTCCAGCCAACACTTCTTTGACAAGTTAATAGGGCAGCATAACTGTACAGCAACGATCAGCCTAGCCAGCCAGCTCCTTTGGGGTGTTCAGACCACTGAAATCCTTATATTGTTGCATACCAGCTCTTTCTTGTCTGTTGTAACATGCTTTTTAGGACACAGGCTCTCTGCAGGCCAGCACTGAGGTTAAACCTGCTTTGAGGAGGACTCAGCCTCCTGAAAGGACCTACTGGAGTCCCTTTCCCACCTGAATTATTTTAGGCATCCATCTTGGTCAGCCTTCAGGGTGCTACAGTTATCCCTACCGTAAGTAAAACCACCATCATACAAAAGCTCATTCATGAACATTTAAAACAATAAAGGGCACATTTGAAACAATAAAGTTTTGATTATTAACTTTCTAGCCATAAAGAAAGGTTATTACCTTAAAGAATGATTTGCATTAGTCAAAAGTGTCTGTTCATGAGGGCTGGGGTTTTTTTTTTCCGGTTTACTTTTCAGCAAAATAAAGCTGCTCTTTTTTCCTCTTCATTTCTCTGTGCGTGCCTCTGTCCCTTCCAGCCTCAAACAGAAGACCAGCCATCCCAGGAACTGTGAAATCCCACGTGTGGGTTTTTTTATTGTAGTCTAGTGACTTCAGCAAAGAGCCGAGGAGGTCCCTGCTCCCCCTGCCTTTCTCCTCGTGACACGGGCTCAAACGTCGATGGGAACCCCATGTCTCGGGGCTCCTCCTCTCGCTCTGCCAATAGTCGCACCTCGCCTGCCCTCAGCCAGGCTCTCCGACTTGTCAGGGCGCCGGGTTCAAGCAAAGGTCAGCCAAGGTCACGTAAGGCCACCCTCAGTCCTCGTCCCCTTGTCCCCTTTCCTCCGCTCCCTTCGAGTTCCAGAGGGGTGGGCGGGTTTCCCAGGCGAGCACCCCTGGGGTGGCTTTGCAGCCTTACAGCCGAGCCACGAGCCGGGGCGGCCCCGGCATCCCCCTCCCCGGCAGCGGGTCCCGGGGCGGCCGCGAGGGAAGGAGCAGCCGCCCGAGCGGCGGGCGCAGGCAGCAGCGCTCCCAGGAGCTCTGCGAATTCACGTCCTCACCCCTCTCCCTTGAGGAAGGGCTTTTTCCAGCAGCTCCCATGTGCCCCGCGCTCACTGCTCGCCCCGTGCAGCGCCCGGGTGCAAGAGCGGGACGCCGGGCAGGGGGAGAGAGCGGAGCCGCTGTTTTGTCGGTGCGGGGAAGACTTTTGGCATGGAAGGAACATCCCAGCTTTTTCCTGAACTGCCCTGAGTCCCCGTGCTCCAGGCCGGCTGTCCCGAGTCCTGGGGGGATGCCACCCCAGCGCCCCGGGGGCAGCGCAGGGGAAGGGGGCAGAGAGGCAGGGACAGCCGTGGTGGTTACCAGCAGCCCCACGGGGGATGCGGGACAGGCGTGGGAGGGCGGCGCGGTGCAGTGCTGGGAAACCCCCGGCTGTGTTTTCCAGCCAGGGCGGTTACACGAGCTGCCCTCCTCTGGGGTTGGGATGAAAACTTGCCTCTCCGTGCTCCGGGGTGGCGGGGCCGGCAGCGCTGAGCGCGGGGCCGGGCGCGCGGAGGCAGGCAGGGCTGTGTCCCGGCCGGGTTGGCTCCACGAGAGCCCCCGGCGCCAGGCAGGGGGGCGAGGAAGGCTGCTGAGGTGCTGGTCCGGCTCCGCAGCCCGGCCCTGGCTCCTGCCGTCGGGGATGGTCCGTAAACTCCAGGCCAGGGCAAAAGGGAGGGGGGTTGTGCCGCTAGACAGAGACGGAGCCGGGCGGCTGGCTGTTGCTGTTGCTGTCAGAGGGGGTCTTGGCAGTGGAGGAGGTGGCCATCGAGCCGCTGTTCCTGAAGATGCGGAGCAGCCTCCGTTTGTAGCCCCGAAAGGCGAAGAAGTAGATGATGGGGTCGATGCAGCAGTTGAGGTTCATGAACGCCACGGTGACTTGCAGGGACATCTTGAAGGCTTGCTGCTCGCGGCAGGACGGCTGGTAGAGGATCTTCCTGACCATGAACTGGACGATGTTGAGGTGGTAGGGACTGAAGCAGAGCAGGACGGCCAGCAGCACCACCAGTATGACGGTGAAGGCCCGGCGGTGGTGCCCGTTCTTCACCGTCAGCGGATTCTCCTTGGCCGTCTGGCAGAGCTTGAGGTTGATCCTCACGTAGCACACCAAGATGATGCCCACGGGCAGGAAGAAGCCGAGAACGCAGGCCCCCAGGAGCAAGTAAGGCATCTTGGGAATGTCCTCGAAGTTGAAGTACTCCATGCACGTCAGCTTGTCCCCCATCCTCCGCGTCATGGGCCACAGAAGCAGCGGCGCTGTCTGCAGGAACACCAAGGACCAGATGAGGACGCAGATGCCCCTGGCGCGGCTCATTTTCCGGATCCTGCTGGGGTGCCTGGTGCGCACCACGGCGATGTAGCGGTCCACGCTGACACAGGTCATGAAGTAGATGCCCACGTAGGTGTTCATGTAGAAAATGAAGGCTGTGGCCCGGCAGAACCAGTCCCCGAAGGGCCAGTTAAACTCCAGGATGTAGTAGGCGATCCTGCCTGGCAATGCCAGGGTGAAGAGGGCATCGGAGAGGGCCAGGTTCACCAGGTAGAGGTCGGTGGAGTTGAGTTTCTTCTTCCTGCGCTGGAAGGTGATGCAGAGGGCCAGGATGTTCCCGCAGGCGCCGAACACCAGCAGGGCGGTGTAGAAGAGGGAGAAGGTGACTTTGGCGGAGAAGTGGTGGTTGTGCACGTTGCAGCTGCTCTGGTTGCTGGAGGTGAGGTTGGCGGGCGGGAACACGGCCTCCGCAACAGCCATTTCCGCGGTGCCTCGCGAGCTCCTGCCCTCACCCTTGGAATAAGAACAGACATGAAACTCGCAGCTGATCGATAACAGGAGCGGCACCCGTAGGGCCGGCCCCTGTCACGAAGCAAAAAGCCCGTCCCCTGCTCCCTGCCACCCCCCTGGCAGCACACTGCTCGAGTCATTTGGAAAAACGCATCTCTTGTGATTTCGGTGCGAGCATCTCAACAAAGGCTGTGACTCATTGTCTTTTTCTTGTCACCAGCTCCTCTTATTTTTGTTTGGTTTTTTTTTTTTTTTTTTTTTTGCAAGTCCAATCAATACCAGGAAGGTTGGAGGGGCTGGGAGGGGGAATCACCTGTCACACAAACAAGGTCCCAAACTCATCCGGTGGCGGCGATGTCATTCATCACCGCGCGGGGAATGGGGAGCTTCATTGAGAAAATGCGGTGGGGCTGGGGAGGGGGGTGGGGGGCTGGGGCTGGAGGGGTGTCCCGGTCCCCAGGACAAGGGGCCGGCGGGCGGAGGTGACAAGGAGCACCTCTGCAACCCTCGGGCCGCGACCAGAGCAGAAACAAAACCAAAGGAATTCAAAGAGAGGGGGAAAAAATCCCAGCACCCCTCCCGCTCCCAAAATCCCGCGCCCCGTGCGCATCCGAAGCGGGGAGCGGGCAACACTCCGGGACCAAACACGCTCCCCCCACCCCCCCCCCGCTCACCCCTGCTTCGTCCCACGGGTCCGCGCCCCGCTCCGGGCAGGGAACAGGGGGGTCCCCTCCGCCCCCGGGGCTGCGGCACCTCCCGGGCTGCGCCCCCCCCGCCCGCCCGCCCCGGCCCCCCCGGCCCCGCCGCTCACCGCACGCTGCGCCCCCCCCAGCCCGGGGCCGCCCCCCCGCCGCTCCGCGGGCGCGCAGCAGCCGCGGGACCGGGCGGGACGGGACGGGACGGGACGGGGCGTCGACGGCGGGGACCCCCGCGGGGCTGAGATGCTCACACGCACGCTGAGAGGCACGGGAGAGAAATCAGAGGCTCCAACCTGGGAGCGGCGGTGCCTCCTCCTCCTCCTCCTCCTCCTCCTCCTCCTCCTCCTCCTCCTCCTCCTCCTCCTCCTCCTCCTCCTCCTCCTCCCGCCCGGCGCTGGGGGGGCGGAGGGCGCGGAGCCTCCCTGCCCGCGCTCGGCTCTCCGGCTGCCCGGCCGTCTGAGAGCCTCTCGGGGTTTGCTCACATTATAAAAGCACCGTGAGGTTTGGGGTTTTTGGTTTTGTTTTGTTGGTTTTTTTCTTTTTCTCTCTTAGTAAAAACGTGTGTTCTTTCTGGGTGGTTTTTCTTTTTTCTTTTTTTTTTTTTTTTTTTTTTCTTTTTCGGTGTGTGAGAGGCATTTTGCTGCAGCAGGGTTTATTCTCAGCAGCAGCTGCACTGGAGAAGATAAATGACTGTACCTGTGCAGCGATCGCTCCTGACATCTGAGCCGACTTTAGGTTTTACTCTGAAAATTTCTACAGGGATGCAAAATGCAACCAAACAGCAAAACCAGCCTCAGCTCTGGTTCACGTGCAGTCCAGAGAGTTCACCCCTGGGCACAGACATAGGGGCCGTGGCAGCGCGCTCGGACCACGGCACCTTTCCCGATGAAGTCAGGACGAATCTCCCATGGAGCTCATTGTGCCCGTGGCCAGCACAAGCCACGCCGGGCACGGCTCCCCACGCTGTGGTTAAGCCCAGATTTGCCTTTTGTACACGCACGGAGATACCATGAGCTCTGATTTACCCCCATGGTCCCACGTGCGGGTGGCTGGCCGGGCCGTGACGTGGCCGGGGAGCCACGGTGATGTGGGAGATGGGGCAAGGGGTGTGGGCAACCAGCGTGTCTTGCAGCGGGGAGAGAGCACTTTCCTCCCCAGCACTTCCCAAAATGTTTGCAGAAGCACAGCCTGCCCTGCAGCCGGAGGGATGGCCTTCCCCACAGCGGCTCTTTGCTGGAAACCACTGGGGTTTTCAAATCCCAAGAGGACTTTATGCTCTTTTTAGTGGTTTTAGGTTTTTTGGGTTGTTTTTTTTTTTTAGTGGTGGTGGTGATGATCACGCTTGTTTTCTTTCTTCCCCCTCCCAAAAACTCCTAATAAATGAGGAAATTCCCATCACTGGGCATTCGGGGTGCTACTGACAAATACTCAGGCCAAGAGATGTCAAGGTTAAGATCACAGTAAAGCTAAGCTTAAATTTGCCTCCGAGGCAGTAAAGCTCAACCAAGTCTTTAATTGCATAATATTTATAATGTTTTATAACATAGTGGCATTAAACTCGGTACTAATCTATGTACTCATATACAGTGAGTCATTTGTATAGAAATTGCACAGTGAATGATATTGCCATGAATTACTACAAGTTGAAGGTACCTAGCAAGAATAATATTGAAAATTTGATAACAACCTTCTGTTAATGGAGATAATTTTGTCACTCGGGGGTTTATATCACACAAAGGGAAAGGTCTGCTAATGTGAAAATAACTGCTGAGTAAATTACTCGAAATATTCCTTAGTGACACGGGGATTTTCTATGTGCTCATCTGTCAGGAGTTAACCTCATCAAACTTGTGTGGGGCTCAAATGTTCTGGAGCTGTTTCATCATGACCATGAAAATACCCGATGGCTATAACATCACGGAAGTGCTAGCCCTGCAGAAATCCCAAACCCACATCAGTGAGCAGATCCAGGACTATCCTTTCATCTACCTAATGCACTGCACGAAATACAGCCGCGGCTGAGAGAAAGACTGGTCACCCTGCAGGCAGCGGTCACTCGGGCACTGATGGTGCAAGAGCTGATGCTTTGCCCAGAAAAGGCTCCCGCCCGCCCTTGTTACACTCTCTCACATGAGAGTTTTATCTCCACAGATTAACACCATAAAGGAAATAAATCTGGGATGAAGGTGGGCAAAGTGCCATCGCCTTCCAGCCAGGCGCCCGCAACACCTTGGGCCAGTCGCCGTCCCCAGCGCTCGGCGATGACGGATGGGCTGTTTCGCCGTGCAAATTCACACCCGGGACTTTTTCCGTGCAGTCAAATGCCCTCCTCCACCCCGCCTCGCCGTACAATCCCTCCTGTCCCCCGGGCTCTGCGCTCACGCAGGCACTAGAAGCAGAGCTGCGGATCCCAGAAGGGGAATTACGTGTGGATAACCCAGCAGCGCCAGCCCCGCCGCTAACACGAACCCTGGGGATGGGAGGGTTCTCCTGGGAACCCATGGGAGCAGGAGGGAATCGCTGTGCCAAAGCGGGGGGCCTGGATAAAGGGGGGGTCTAGGGGGGTGCAGCCGCTGAGCGGAGGGTGAGGTCCTTCCCGGGGGACAGGCACAGAGCGGGTCCTGGGGAGCTGGAGGAGGGAGATGCCACAAGTGCCATCACCAGCCTCAAAAACAGACGGAGGACCCCATAGGACCAGGGGGCATTCACATCCAGGGACTTGGGAATAAGGAGGCGGGACAACAATGCTCTCTGCCTGATTTTATTTTTCTTTTTGCAACACAGAAGAAAGGAAGTGGGTTCTTCTTTTGTGCAAAACATGCTCCTGCCCTGCGTGCAGCAGGTGCCGTGCTACAGGAGTGCAACCCAGCTCCACCCGTTTGCACGGCCCCGGCGGCCCCACCAAGCCCAGGGCGGCTGCACCGCACCGCACCCCAGGCAACAGCCCCTTTCGGATGGGGGCACAGGGCTGGGGGGGACCCCCTTCCCGGATGGTGGGCCCCTGATCCCTGTCTCTGCCACGCTGGGTTAGCTGAACAGGGACACGCACCCCCCAGGGCGGTGTACAGAAGCCACGTTGACCCCAGCGGGCAGACATCTCATTTAAGAGATACTGCCTTTTACCGAACCCAGCAGTTGGGTGAAACGTGGTGTGGGCTTTGGAGCGTGAAGTTCAACTTCAAAGCTGGGTCCAGGTTTTTTCCTGCTGTGCCCAGGTTTGCACAAAGCTGTTTTTCCTTGGGAAGGGTCCTGCAGCCCAGGTACCCATTCCAGGGCGAGCGGGAGCTGCTGACCCGGGGTGTCCCTGCTGACCCGGGGTGTCCCTGCTGCCCGGGACCCGGCCAGGGCACAGAGGACACTTCCCTGGGGAGTGTAAACTCTCAGCGTGGAGGGTCTCTTTCCTGACACGAGCACCGTGGCCATTATCCACGATGCGCCCTGCCGGGCGGCCGCCCCACGCTGCTTGCCTGGGGGTCGGTGCCGCCCTTCCCAGAGCCGTTGGGTATTTCGGGGTAGACGTGCGCCTCCGAGTCAGTGCAGCTGTCTCTCACATCAGCAGCAGCAGCAGCAGCATCGCAGAGGGCATCTCTCCGTGCCAACCCGTGAAGGCTCCCTACAGCACCCCTCTCCCTCCTGGAGGCCTTTACAGGGACGTTTCCATCGTGGCCCAGCAGGAAAACCAGCCAGCAGCTCCTCCGGGGTGAGGTCCTTCAGGCCATCGGCCGGGAGCCTGGCCGGGGCGGTGAGTGCGACCGGCGAGGAAGGCTTGCAAAGAGCTGGGGAGAGCACGTGCTGGGAGAGCTGGCACCGGGCTTGCTCCAGAGCTTCGTCTTCGGGTGCAAAGCCACGCTCGGGGGTGCTGAGGCTGTTGTTTACACCTGGTGGAGTTTCCCAGAGTTGAGACATGATTTGGAGCTGGACTTTCTGAAGGCAAGGCGGCAAAACAAATGAGGTAACAGCCCTTTCACAGAGAGATGGCAGGAAGTTTGCGCCTCCTCTTTCCATTGTATCATCACCTCTCCCTCTTTCCTTTCCCCTTGACTTCGGTTACGTTTTCTCTCTTCTAGTGCAAAACACTTTCAGGAAGCTTTGGGTTTAGACACAAAAAGCTCAAATCCAAGTGCTTTCAGTTTTGATGCAAGAGGCAGGGATTTTCCACAGCTCAGCCCCTGGATCTCAGGCCACCACTAGTCATCTGGTCGAGCAGAAAGGAGGAGAACATCTGATTTGAACATCTACCTGACCACTCAGTAGCAACAGCTGTGTGGAGAGGACAACGTTTGAGAGGATT